ATTCCACGCCGTCGGAAGCATCTTGCGAACCACAAGCGATGACCTACTCCGCTGCTGCTCGTCGACCCCGACCCGTCCCAACCCGTTATCAAGAGGCCCCGCCGTACCGCCGCCCAATGTCGCCCGCCCGACCCCCTGTAACCCGAAACCAGGCGCCCATGAAGACCGAGGTGTGGCGAACGCCAGATAATCGTCCGCTGTGCTACCACTGCGGAGAGGCCGACCACGTCTACCGCCGCTGCCCGTACAAGAGGCTGGGTTTGCGTGGGTTCTCCGTCGACGCGCCCCGCCCGCGAGCCGGCCAGTGCCCATTTGAGATCGAAGAATACCTGTCTAACACCAGCCGTGGACCACCCCGTTTCAACCGTTCGCCGTCGCCCTACCCGTACAAATCCCCCAACCGTCGCAGCCATGCTGGCTTCGCCCGTGGAAGGTCCCCCAGCCCACGAAAGGGAAACTAAAAGCAGCAACTTCTGGAGGTGAAGTTGCACAACGGCGAGAAAATGAAAACGCTCCAACGACGCAAGACCGTGACTCACGACATGCCCTCATCCTGACGACCCGACGACACCTTGACGAGACCCCCGAAAACGACGACAGCTACGCTGCGCGACGCGCACCCGAAATGACGAAGCCTGCCGCTGAGAAGACGACGATGACGACGCATAGTGCCTGACCATCAACACGTGCAAGCCGCGATACGACGCCCCGACGCACCCGAAATTTGAGGAAAGCGGCATCCGACGTCCAGTTGTCCATCGACGGCCTTGACGTAGTCGCCCTCATCGACACGGGAGCCGACTACTCGGTCATGAGCGGGTCATTCGCGTCCAAGCTAAAGAAAGTTACGACCAGATGGGACGGTCCGCACATGCGCACAGCAGGAAGCCACCTCGTGACCCCAAGTGGAATGTGCACATCACGCGTCACCATAGACGGCACTACGTACCCTTCGGAGTTCGTCATTTTGCCTAACTGCTCCCGCGACGTAACTCTCGGAATGGACTTTTTGACGGACAATGGCGCAATAATTGATTTGCAGACCAGGTCGATAACGTTTTCTTCCGATCACTCCACGACGCCACAGCCGAACCTCGGACACCGTGCTGCTGTAAGGATGGCCGACGATCACGTCACCCTGCCACCCCGCGCAAGCTTGATGATCGCCGTCTATTGTGAAGGTGCTGCTCCTGACGTCGACGCTATCGTGGAGACTGACCAAAGGTTGCTTCTAGACAGCGGTGTGTCTGTCGCAAGAGGCATTGCGTGGTTTAAGCAACGCAGATCCCACGTTTTGGTCACCAATTTCACCAAGGAGTACCAGCATCTAAACAAGGGCGCTGCAATTGCGTTCCTCGAAGAAACGCAAGAAGCGAGTCAAGTGATCGCGGTCGCCACCTTTGAACGCGCACGCGCAGATGCTTCCAGGCTACCACATCCTTTCGACGTGAACCCGGCGCTGTCGCAAGAAAATCGGGACAGATTACTGGAGCTGCTCCGTCGCTACAGCGAGTGTTTTTCCTCGAACTCGAAGTTACGTCAGACACCTTTGGCGAAGCACCGGTTAATAACCGAAGATGGAGCTCGACCTACCAGACAGTCACCCTACCGCGTTTCTTCACACGAGCGCGAAGCCATCCAGACTCAAGTAGATGACATGCTCAGCGACGACATAATGCAGCCATCAAAAAGTCCGTGGGCTGCGCTGGTTGTACTCGTGAAGAAAAAAGATGGCACTTTAAGATTCTGCGTTGACTACCGGAGACTAAACAAAATCACCAAAAAGGACGTGTACCCCCTGCCACGAATCGACGATGCCCTCGATCACCTCTGCCCCGCAAAGTACTTCTCATCCATGGATCTGAAGACCGGCTACTGGCAAATTGAAGTGGACGAAAGAGACCGAGAAAAGACTGCATTTATAACCCCAGACGGTCTATACTAGTTCAAGGTGATGCCATTTGGGCTGTGCACGGCACCCGCAACGTTTCAGAGAGTCATGGACACTGTGCTAGCAGGCCTCAAGTGGCACACTTGCCTCGTATACCTCGACGACGTTGTCGTATTCACCCGGACTTTCGACGAACACCTCACAAGGTTGGAATCTGTATTCGAGGCCATTCGTACGTCGGGGTTAACGCTGAATCCTGAGAAGTGCCGTTTCGCGTACGAGGAACTCAAGTTCTTGGGTCACGTCGTGAACGCCGCGGGAGTCCTACCTGACCCGGCCCGGCAAAAACATCAGCCATTGTGAACTTCCCAAGGCCGAAAGATAAGAAGGGTGTGCGAAAGTTCCTCGGACTGTGCGCATACTACCGGCGCTTCATCGCAAACTTCGCACGCATTGCAGAGCCACTCACGCGCCTGACGAAAGAAAGCACCCCTTTCAGCTGGGAAAACGACCAAGAAAAGGCATTCTGCGAGCTGCAACAACGCCTGCAAAACCCGCCCGTGCTCGCTCATTTCGACGAAAACGCCGAAACTGAAATGCACACGGACGCCAGTGATATCGGTTTGGGTGCCGTCCTCGTCCAAAAGCAAAGCGGTTACGAAAAGGTAATCGCCTATGCAAGCCGTGGTCTGTCGAAGGAGGAGAGAAACTACTCTGCCTCCGAGAAAGAGTGCCTGGCTATCATATTGGCCATTTCAAAATTTCGCCCATACGTCTATGGTAGACCGTTTAAAGTTGTGACAGACCATCATGCGCTGTGTTGGCTCGCCAATTTGAAGGACCCCTCTGGCCGTCTTGGGCGGTGGAGCTTGCGCCTGCAAGAGTTTGACGTTACAATATTCTACAAATCCAGCAGGAAACACTCCGACGCCGATTGCCTGTCCCGCGCCCCCGTCGACCCACCACCACAGGACTCCGATGAAGACAGCGCGTTCTTCGGAGTCGTGACAGAGAGCGACCTAGCCGCCCAGCAGCGTGCCGACCCTGACCTCTGCGCCATGATCGACTACCTCGAAGGACGCAACGTCGCCGTGCCTAGGGCGTTCAAGCGCAACTTACCAGCATTCAGCCTCAAAAACGCCATCCTAGTGAAGAAGAATTTCAACCCCGGAACGAGAACGAATTATCTACTTGTCATCCCCGCAGACCTTCACGATGAAATTTTGGAAGCGTGCCACGACGACCCGTCTTCCGGACATCTCAGAACAGCTCGCACGATTACAAAAATCAAGGCGAAATACTTCTGGCCCCGCCTTACATCCGACGTCACCCACTACGTCCGGAGCTGCCGTGACTGCCAGCGACGAGAAACACCACCGACGAGACCAGCCGGATTTCTGCAGCCGATCGCCGTCCCAACGAGGCCCTTCAAACAGATCAGAATGGACCTTCTGGGCCCGTTCCCTACATCCCGATCCGCGAACAAATGGATTGTCGTAGCGACAGACTACATGACGCACTACGCAGAGACCACCGCTCTTCCTAGGGGAACTGCACAAGAAGTCGCAAAGTTCTTTATTAACCAAATTGTGCTGTGGCATGGAGCCCCTGAGGTCCTAATCATGGACCGCGGAACGACCTTCACTGCGGAGCTCATGCAAGGAATCTTACGCTACAGCAACACAGATCACCAAAGAACGACGGCGTACCAACCCCAAACGAATGGACTAACGGAACGGCTCAATAGTACAATCGCGGATATGCTGTCTATGTACGTCGACGTTGAGCATAAGACGTGGGACGAAGCCCTCCCGTACGTCACGTTTGCGTACAACACGGCTATTCAAGAAACCACGCAGATGACACCGTTCGAGCTCGTCTACGGAAGACAGCCGACTACGATGCTCGACGCCATGCTTCCGCACGTAGAAGACGACGACCTCAACGCCGACGTCCAAGGATACCTCCAACGGGCGGAGGAGGCCCGCCAGCTCGCTCGAGCTCGTATAACGGACCAGCAAACTGGTGGATGCCGGACGCTACAATCTCCGACGCCGAGACGCCGAGTACCATCCTGGAGATCGTGTGTGGGTTTGGACTCCCATTCGATGACGTGGACTCAGTGAGAAACTTCTACGACGCTATTTTGGACCCTACCAGATTCTACGACGTGTTGGCGAACTAACGTACGAAGTGATCCCCGATGGGGACTCCCGTATATCACGACGACGCACGCGGCCCGAAGTCGTCCTTGTGGTTCACTTAAAACCTTTCTACGGACGATAGAACTTTTAATTTGTGTGGACTGTCCCTTATCTTAGCATCGGGTCGATGCACTCTTAGAGGGGGGGTAATGCCGCGAACCATGCATTGGGTTTGTTTATTTGTGTTTTGTTTTTTCGGCCTGGCTGCGCCGGCCTTTGCTATCGCCGTTTTCACAGCGTTTCGAACAAACGCTACCACAGCGTTTCGAACAAACGCTATCGAACAGCGCTTCAAGCGTTGTTTGTTAGAAACGCTGTTCGAACGAACAGCGTTTCTAACAAACGTTATCACGGCGTTCCCGATACAATTCGACTATTCGAGAAACCCTCGTGCCGAGGGATATAAATTCCCGCACAGCCGATGCCACGTCATTCGATCGCCGACGCTCACTAGCGTGCCCGTCGTTTTGCTGGCCGCTGCTTCGCCGCCTGTGTATTTTTTTCAGTTGTTAGGGGAGCACAGCTTCGCTCCAATAAACTTGTTTTCCTCATAGACAACTGCGTCGTCCTTTGCTGCGTGACAATATTGAACATTAGGCTAAACATAATGGTCTGCAGTCTAATACAACGGTGTAGCGGTTATGGTGCTTGACTGCTAACCTGAGGATCGCGGGTTCAATATTGGCCGCTACGGTCGCATTTCGGTGAAGGTGAAGTTATTGAGGGTTCTGGGCAGTGCGATGTCAGTGTACATAAAAGAACCAGATGGCCCGAATTTCCGAAGCCCTACCTTTGACACGCCTTATAATAATATTGTCAGATCGGAACACAAAAACGTACTAAAAAGCTTCGAAAATGTGGCGCCGTATGTGGTGTGCTGATTCTTTTACTTTTCCTTGTTGCAGGCACATTCTGACACGCAGTCAAAGCGGGGTTTTACGCCAAGGGCTAGATACCATGTTTAAAGAAAAAGAAAAAAAGAAATGAGGTGAGGACCAAGATGTCTTCCTGGGAACATGTGAATGTGCCGGGCAAAAACAACAACATGAAGCCGGACCTTCACCATCTACAGCAACAAGTAGCATGACTGTTCAAGGAGTTATGTTTTTCCCATTTTTGTGAGAGTTAACATAACTTGTGTGCGTCTTATGTGTGGTCATAATATCATTTATAAATTCACTTGACTAACTTGTCATTTGTGTTGAAATAAATATAAAGATTGCAACTCATAATTACTGCATTAGATGAAGAGGGCAGAAGGGTAAGTCTTGAAAACTACTCTGCGGAAAACAAAAGTAATGTACAAAAAACTCGGAACAGAACAGCGCTTCGAAATGGGTAATAGGGCACATGAAGTGGTAAAGGAATATATCTACTTGGTACAGATAGTAACTGCGAAGCTGAACCACGAGACTGAAGAAACTAGAAGATTAAGAATGGGGTGGAACACATTCGGCAAGCTCTCAAATCATGACTGGGAGATTGCCACTATACCTCAAGAGGAACATGTACATGTATTACAGTTCCATCTTGCAAGCACTTAATTACTGATCAGAAACATGGAGGCTTACAAATAGGGTTCAGCTTAAATTCAGGACGAAGCTGTGAGTGATGGAAAGAAAAATGATAACTGTAAGCGAAGTGGATCAGGTATAACCGTAGTGGATCAGGGAAAACTAGGGTTGAGGATGTCATACTTGGAATCAGGAAGAGCAAATGGACGTGGGCTGGGCAAATAACGCATAGGCAGGACAACCGCTGGTCAATAAGAGTAACTGACTAGATTCCCAGAGAAGGCAAGCGTGTTAGGGGTACACAAATTTGAGTGGGGAAGAACCGAGTTGATTGGCAAAACATGGAAGAGGCCTTTGTCCCCGAAAGGGACGTAGTCATGCGTAAGATGACGATGATGAAGTATAAAGGTTGTACACACTTTTCACGGGCCCGTATGCAGAAGTGGAACCGGTCGGCTTATAAAATGCAGGCCCAGTAGGCAGCAAGAACTGCATGCCTTGAGGTTTGTGCTGTGGCAGTTTGCAGCAAATTTATTTTTATTTCCGTGTTGCAATTCTGCAGCAGTATGTGCAGTTTTTGCTATTTTGCATTTGTATGTTTCTTTTGTAGTTATATAAGGACATCTTCTTTTTTTCTGCGTATTTCAGAAATGATATCGTATTCTACACATGCTCTGTTTCCTCTGAAATTTGATTTTTACATGTGTTTGTGTGTGTTTGTCTAAAGATGCATCAATCTACAAGCACTGTGCATTGAGTATTGTGTAAAAGGGAAAGGTATATTGTCATTCAGTTGAAAAAGAGAAGAACAGAAGCGGCTGTAGGCTACAAAGATGCGAAGATGAGTGTGCTACAATGCATTCGATAAATGTTTCAAAACTAGCATTTCTCTTCAAAATGATGAAGCGATGGCTTCAGTTTCAGCTCGGTCAGAATTCAACAAACGCCATTACCCTCACACTTCTTCGGGCACCAGTGTGGCTCTGTTATAATGTCACTTAACGTTTTTGCCAGCAGAACAAGCCATATAACAATTTTGCAGGTTAAAAAAACCCAGGAGGTAGAAATTTCCGGAGCCCTCCACTATGGCGTCTCTCATATTCACATGGTGGTTTTGTGACGTTGAACCCCACATATCAGTTAATCATTTAACAATGCTAACTCTCCGAAACCCGCCGCGAGTGTATTAGTGCTCACTCAGTTTGCGTCTTTATGTTTTGCACCACAAATTGAAAGTGTCGGAAACGTAAGATCATGGGGCTGGCTGCCGGCTATCTATCATGTTTTGGAATGTGAGTTGTTCGAACTTTTTTCTGTTATGCGAGTAGTTTAAGATGTAATACACGATCTGCCTTATAGATTCCAGTTGCAAGACAAAGACGCTTCTCGATGACGTCTGGTTTACACAAGCTTGCGTAAGCCAGTTCCATTTCAATCTGCAAACTTTTTTGTCAAGATACTCGCAGAACAAACATCTTTGTTGGTGCCATACCCTAGCTGGCTAGTAACGGGGCCAGTCGTATGACGTGCGCACACAATAAAACCAGATAAAGGTGATGTCGAGAAATTATAAGATTATCTAGAAAATAGAGCAAAAAAAGGTAGAATTGATTCAAGGGGCAATGCAAGTGACAACCTATGCAGCATTTCATGCTTTGAGCTTAGCATCGCGAAGTGAAAAGATGTCTTTGTCTAAATTTAGCAATTTTGTTTATTTGGGGGGCCAATTCTAGGCATGTCTGTTACACTGGCGTGTAAAGGGTAGCTCATGGACATAATTATTACTGACTTACAGCACAGACTTCACTTTCATCGCGAAGAAAGTTTCGTGGGGATGTAATATTGAAAAGATAAGTAGCAGTCATCAGCGTATTCGACAGTGATATTCCTAGCTACGCCGAAGAATTCCCATTCAGAGACATGAAAATTTCCTATCATGGAGATTTTTCCCGGCAAACATTGACTATATTCCAAGCAAAATTCCCTGCACAAGAGTACTAATTCTCGCCCCCATCCACGCACACGCACAATATAATTACATGTTCCTCACGTACGTGACTTTTGAAATCATGACTAGCAGCTCCACTGCCGCACATCAAAAGCATGACTTTATCAATTCATATACTGCATACACTGAACGTTGTGGGCTTCAAGTCTAACACAACTAGTGAACTAGAAATCGCTTTGCGTAAATAGCAGAAACAAATCTCAAAGTCCATGCTAGCGTGGTGCATGCGTCAGAACCGATTACAGCAGACGACGGCTCACTGTGACCACTAATTATTGGTCGTCATAGGAGAATTTAACCATTTCTGAAATTCACGAAGACTCCCCTTTTTCCTTTGGCTCAAGAAGACCGATGATGACTCCCCGAAAAAGGGTAATCTCTTCGCACGGAACATCACTGGTAATCGAGGAAATATACGATATTACGTTCTCACGAAAGTATTGTTCTGGCGCATAGGGTTTTGTCGCAAAACAGTTTGAAGCACTGGCGTGGCTTTGTGGTAGAATTCTGTGTGGAATCATTAGTTTCGATTCCAGCTTGAGTCGTAGTTTCTGTTCCTTTCTCCCATCGCAAGTTTTTACACATTGAAAGCGCCGTCTACGCCGGCATCGCATTTTATGATATCTAGGTTGATGTGGATTGAAAGGGATGTTGAAATAGAATAAAGGTGCATGGTTAATCAATGAATCGTAATGTTTCTGCCTCACAAGTAACGGAATAAACGTCTTCAATTATTTGATTACAGCAACTGCTATGCTACCCCAGGGTGTCTACCATATTGATTTTTTGAAAATTCCTGACTTTTCCAGGTTTTCTATGATGACTTAAAGCAAATTCCATTACTGTTACGTCCATTGTTACGTGCACCTAGATTGCTGTAATTACTATTGATGTGCATTCCCACCTAATTTGTACACCTCTATATTGTCACGTGCGTCCCGCGAAAAAGACGAAGGCGACAGCGCATACGCGCATCTGCACACTTTTATGCAGAACGCAACAACGATAAAGACGGGGAACTCTCTCTTGCGCGTGGTTAATAAAAAGACCGACCCGCTGCTGTTTTCTCAGCGTCTTCAAGTACGATCTCTGTCTTGACGTCGCGACAGTGGTGGAGGTGCTGGGGCCTGCAACCTGATGCAAGAATGCGTTGTTCGGGACCTTACACCTAGTCCGCAGCCTCAACATCTTGTTGCGACTCCAGTACACCGATTCAGCCGGCGTTTACTAGGCAGGCCTAAGTCCAGAACTCTTGACGGCATCTCCTGTTACCAACACAACGGCCCCTTCAACGTCTGCTCCTCCGGCCCAGATGACTCACCCTTACCAGGTAACTTTTGAGACTCCTCCTGTTCTCGAAGTCTTCCGTGGAGAACTGTATGAAGATGTCGAGGACTGGCTCGTCCAGTTCGAGCGGACCACTGTGGTGAATCGTTGGAGCGTGCAAGAAAAACTTGGCCGTGTCTATTTCGCAATGGAAAATAGCGCTCGCACATGTTACGAGAACAGGGAGCCTACTTTCCAAACCTGGGACAATTTCTGCCAAAAGCTTCTCGAGACGTTCCTGAGCGCGGACCGACGGGATCTCGCACAACAGATGATTGAAGCCCGCATGCAAAAGCCGAACGAAAGCGTGGCCATGTTCGCTGATGATATGGCCCATCTATTCCGCCGCGCTGACCCTTACATGCCCGAGGCAAGGAAAGTTTGTCACCTGATGCGGGGAGTTAAGGAACCGCTTTTCGCCGGCCTTGTATGAAATCCGCCAACAACAGTGGATGAATTCATCAAAGAGGCGACTGTCATTGAGCGGGTGCTCCGGCAACGATGCCGCCACTTTGACCGCCTGCCCTACCAAACGCCTGTTGGTGCCGCCGCTCAAACCACTGCCATTTCCGAAAGCTGTTTAGGACAAATGATTCGACAAATCCTGCGGGAAGAGCTTCAGGATCTTGGCCTTCCGTCTACCGATCCCCCAGTTGCTTCTGTTGCAGAAATCGTGCGCCAGGAACTACGGCAAGCCTTTCCATCACCGGCGCCACCACGCGAACCACGTTCACTGACCTATGCCAATGCCGTCCGCCGCCATCCGCCTTACCCAGAAGAGGCACCCTTTCAGCCACGGCCCGTTAGCTTGCCGTGGTGGCACCGGGAACCGGTGCGGCGACCACCAGTACGTCGGACCGACTTGTGGTGCACTGCCGACCGTCGACCTCTTTGTTTCCTCTGCGGCGAACCAGGTCACATCTCGCGCTACTGCTGTCATCGAGAAGCCCGGTTTGGAAACTTTTCTCGACCCGCTTCCTTTTATTCTGAATACCCTCGGGACCATGGTGCTGATCACCTGCCGACCAACCAAGCGTCTTCACCAAGTCGTCGCTGGCGGTCTCCCTCACCTGCACGAGGTCATAATTCCCCGAAACGCCAAAGATACGCTGATGCC